GAAACGAGCTACTATTCGCGCCAAAATGCGAAAAGTGATTTGAATCAAGAGATACTTTGCTGACCGTCCATTCATATAATAAGCTCTTCAGAAAAAAAATTTGAATCGATTCTGTTCCCCGTATAAAAAGTTGATTTTGCGCTAATGCTAATTTACGATGAGTAGTTTAGTGCAGGCGTTGCTTGTCTACTGCACACTGACAAATATTTTGTTTGTATGACTCTAGACTTCCAGTCAAGGAGATACAGCAAATCCAACAGTTGTTCATTGAAGATCACATCGGGTCAAGATAAGCCTTCATTAATTTGATCTTACATGAAAAAAATTTCGCCATTGCAAATACATCGTGATCTTTATTTCGTTATGGTTTTTACTGGTTGCTATATCGATTCTATCTCATTTGGTGTACTTGAATACCGTCGGACTAATGAAAACCATAACAAAATAGAGATCAAGATGTTTTGCAATGGCGAAATTTTTACAAACACAAAAATTCTCAGCTCATGGGTATTCAGGATTGCAAATTCACAATATTTCCTCCATATTCTCTTATTCTTAAAATGCATAGAAAAATATTCAATATGTTTTTAGTAGAGATGAAATGACGCATCTTCTAAAAAATCAACAAATTTAGTATGTTTTTGGGCTAAGTAAGATATGTGCAAATAGAAAAACGAGCAGTCATTTTGAGACACCCGTTAGTACTCGAATTTTTTCACGAATAACTGTATAAATAAAGCCGCGTAAATCTTGTTGGGTGTTAAATACGATTTGTATTCCGCTTTTGTTTTAATGCGTGTGACCTCGATACAGATCGTTTTGTTTTATTCAATTTTAACTACTTAGATAAAATAGCCAGAGAATCTCTCACTAATAAACGGTGGAATTGGATGTATTCAGATAAAGCTTCAGAACCGTCCCAATCAATTTTATTTTTGGTTTCTTTTCATGGTGTAATATAGTTGGTCGTTCCTTCTTCAATGTCATCTCTCTTATTGTTCTCCTACGTGTATTTCTCAAATGAAATACACGTATCTCTCTTATCTGTTCTCACTGGTTAGTTCCTTCAAAAATTTCAGTTTGATTCTATTTGTCTTTAGTTCAGACTAGGCATGCAACAATCCCAAGCTGAGGCTCGTTGATCGGCACGAACATGTTCAGTAACAAACCCTTCGGTGCCGATCGGCGAGCCCTGGCTTGGGATTGTTGCATGCCTGATCAGTAGAAATATACATTTCCTATGAAAGAAAGACTAAGAGAATAATGATAATAGCATGAAACGAAAATGAGATCTGACTCACTATTCTTTATGCTCGTGACATAACAGTGGTGCTTTGTTGGATATCCTCATACTACGGAAATCTTCAAAACGCTTGTCGATCTGGTTTTCGAATATACGTTGCCATTACAGTTCGAACAGCAAGTCGTGCATACAGGATGAAGATTACATAATGATAACAAAGAAGAAGATAAAAAATAGTGGATATCCTGCAACTATCAGTCCATTTTGATCCATTTTGAGTCAATAATGACGACTTTCTCATTAGTTAAAAGCCGTATTTTGGATCTAAGTGGTTCTTTCCTAGACTTTTGAATATTTTCCGAAAAAGGACTTTGTCACATGAGTTGGGGGAGCTCATAAGCTATATTTGTGATGCTGAGATTATCTCAGGCCAACAAAAATATGTCATAGGGCTTGTTTGAAATTCGATATCACGCGTTTAAATATGAAATTATAGTTTGTATAAACTTTGTTTGAAAAAAAAAAATAATATTAATACAAATCGAAATGGATTACATTGTATCAATTTTTAAAAGAGTCTTAAAGAAACGGATGAGCAGGAAAGATAATAACCGACATACAAAATAATGAAAAAGAGAATTTAAAAGATGTTGAAAAGTAGAGTATTTGTGATGATCAGATGCCTCTATGGACAAAAGAGAGACGACTTTCAATGGATTCGTACAGATATGAGATAGAGATGCATCAGCTTCGATATCAAGATACAGCAACTCATGCGGGCACTTAACAACGTTTAGTATCCGTTTAGTATAAAATCACATATACATCTATACAGTCATAAACAAAGAAAAATGTCTGCTTATTGAGAATACCTTTCAAGAGAAAAGTATCCAAGTCTCGTTTGATGCTTACATTATGGAATTTTTAGAAAAATATGCTGCGTGGATGATTATAATGAGGACATTTAAGAAAAAAATGTTTTGTATCCTCAACTACTTCAGCGGAGAGTGATAAAACTAACAGTTTTCACACAGACTGTTGGAAACAAGTTTATGCTGCTTTAGATGATGATTCAGTGCAGAAAAATTGGCTCTTAGTCGACAAAATAGAGTGTCAATTCTCCGATTCAATAGACAGGATGATTTGTTTGCAGGAGGTAACAAAAGATTTTTAATTTCCATGTGAAATTTATGAGATTTCAATTTATTTTGAAAGTCACGCCTTTGTGAAAGTAACTCGGTCCACTCTTTAATAGCAGTTGCGAAGAAAACACTCTTATCTTTATGATCACACAGTTGCTAATTTTAGTTTGAAGAAGGCATGCCACAGTTTCTTTTTGGTATATTTCAAAAAACGGCTTATATTTTCGCAACAACGAACAGTGAACTTTTTTGAAATCAAGAATTTTGAAGAGTAAATATTTCTTTACAAGATGGCATATAGCAGATATTTCTAAAGTTACTTGATTTCTTCGAAAAACGTTTTTAACAAAATGACTCAACAGTTAAAACAGCGGTTTTTACCAACTAGATCATTGTATCAAAAACGTCTTTCAAAGAAATCAAGCAACTTTAAAAATATCTGCTATATGCCATATTGAAGAGAAATGTTTGCTCTATACAATTGCAGATCTCAGAAAATTTCACAGTTCGTTGTTGGGAAAATAGAAACCGTTTTTTGAAAAGCACGAAAAAGAACTGCTGCATGCCTAGCTTGAAGAGATGTTTGAAACAAATGTAACTAGAATACGAACATTTTTGTTGTGTATTTTTCCCTGCTGACATCATGCTTGTAAGGTCAATGAGAAATGAGAAATTGCGTACAAATGAGAAGAAACGAAAAAAGAATTTCCATGTTCTAGAGAACCGCTTATCATAACCTAAGAACGTCTGTCAACGTATATGGAGAAAACAAGTTGTTTTCCATCTAATTATATACTGTCATCCTCTTACATTTCTATATTCTGCTGGGCTAATTGACTATTTCTCCTAGTATGGGTTTATTCCTATCAGTTTATTAGTATGTTGTGTTAACCATATAATATATAAATAGTAGACACATATTCTTCTTTAATATTCAGTTAAAGAAGAAAAATTTTTATCTATTTATTTAAAAAATTATTGACATGAACGTTCAAATTATTATTATACTATTAGTATCCATGTTTTATATCAGCAATTGTGTCGATATGAATTGGTATCGAAATGAAACATCGTCAAAAATTGTACCACCGTATAAAAAGTCCTATACAATATTACAAAATGATATATTGAATAAACTAGTAAATGTCGATATTGAGATATTACATGATAGTGATGAAGCAGCTACATTATTAGTGAAAAATATTCATTGTGCAGCAAAAACAATGTCAGACAATCTTAGTCAAGCGGTACATGCTAGCGATCTTATTCTAGATATTGTCGATGAAGCATTAGTGAATACGGCATCGGATATTATTCAACAAGAAAGTGAAATACATCGTACACAAATGAGTATTAATCGTGTAAATACGGGCATTCAAGATACACAATTACGTTTACATAGAGCAGAAATATCATTTCGTGAGAAAGAACATGGCCTTGATCTTGCAAATGAACAATTAAAAAGAGCTCAAGAAGATGTTGAAGATGCTCGACTATGTCGTGGTAAAAGATTTATCGGTAGCTGGTGGAGACAAAATGTTGTTCAACCTGTGGAAAAAACGGTTAAACAAGTGATTGTAAAACCAGTTTGTCGAGTGGTTAACTATCATGGTATCGAAAGTGCAAAAGACAGGCGTAGTTCAGCGTCCGATGCTGTTAATCTAGCTAGACAAGATGTTTCTCATTTAAAAAGTCAACTGAGTGATTTGACAAGGAATCGAGAAATGTACGTTAAAGAATTAGAAATAGAAAATAAACGGTCAGAAGTATTGAACAATACGTTGACAGAAATGAAAGAAAGACAATTGTTAGTATCATCAATAACATCTCAGTTAAAAGCAGCTAATCTTTACCTAACAAATTTTTACGGTACATCTACAATTCTCGTGGATGAAATAAAACGTTTAGTTGATTTTGAACGATTAATTACGCCGTTGAATGCTGTATATAATGAAATGTTAAATAATCATGTGATGTCGGCATTTGCTGGAGGACAAATATCTGTCGAAACAGTTGAACATGTAAAAACGAACTTAGACATATTAGAAGTTGTTTTACCAAATATGCCACCTATTGATCGGTATACTCAATGTTACTAATGTTTTGATATTTTCACATTTTATGTTTTTGTTTTGTATTCCATCTTGATTTTATCTTTATTTGAAAATAATAAACATGATCAAACGTACCTAGTCAGTCATAGACATTCGAAAAACTGCAGGATTCCAAAATTTACGAAGACTTTTATCAGTTTAACGAAATTTGTGGCACAAACATGCAAGAAGCTGCGAACACGCATGAAGCGCAAGTTGCCATAAAAACAGAGGCTTTGCGCGCGTGTTATTTTCCCTACACCCGCAGCTTCCTGAGTGGGTGTCCTCCAAATTCGCTAAACGCGTAAAATTTTTCTTAAATTTTGCAATGACTGACTGAGTACACTTCTGAATCACGTTACTGAATCTATTTTTACCGAGCTATTTTAAAACTGTTTCTAGATTAATTTTTCTATTTGTTGCTTGTACGTTGACAGACGTACTTCGGTTATGATAAACGGTTCTCTAAAACATGGAAATTCTTTTTCGTTACTTCTCATTTGTACGCAATTTCTCATTTCTCATTGACCTTACAAGCATGATGTCAGCAGGGTAAAAAATACACAACAAAAATATTCGTATTCTAGTTACATTTGTTTCAAACCTCTCTTCAAGCTAGGCATGCAGCAGTTCTTTTTCGTGCTTTTCAAAAAACGGTTTCTATTTTCGCAACAACGAACTGTGAAATTTTCTGAGATCTGCAGTTGTATAGAGCAAACATTTCTCTTCAATATGGCATATAGCAGATATTTTTAAAGTTGCTTGATTTCTTTGAAAGACGTTATTGATACAATGATCTAGTAGGTAACAACCCAAGGGGGAAAAGGCGACTTTTTTCTTTCTTAGCATCGCAGAGCATCGTTCGCTCAAAATTTTTCATTTCTAAGAAAAACTTCTGTTCCTCAAACAGAACAATCCTGTTCTTTTAGCGGGAAATTTTTCCTGATAACGGGACAATTGTGTTCTGTTCCGTGAATTCTATTCCCACAGGCAGACCCTCAAGCTCCGGAAAGCATTTCAAGGGCTCCGGACAGCTCCCGGAGCCGCCTTTTCCCCCTTGTAAAAACCACTGTTTTAACTGCTGAGTCATTCTGTTAAAAACGTTTTTCGAAGAAATCAAGTAATTTTAGAAATACCTCACCATCAAATAGAATATAGCTTATCGGCTACTCTAACTCATGTGACAAAGTCCTTTTTTCGGAAAATATTCAAAAGTCTAGGAAAGAACCACTTAGATGCAAAATGCGGCTTTTACCTAATGAGAAAGTCATCATTATTGACTCAAAATGGACTGATAGTTGCAGAATGTCATAACAAGTTAAGTCAAAATTAACCTGATCTGACTTGACCTAGGTCATTTTTTCAATTTTATCAAGATTAATAATTTTATATTAATTTTAATTTTATAAGTTGTAAAAAATGCATCACTTCATGGCTTAACTCACGATGAATCAGCAGCTATCTATTCATATACAATGGAAATGGGTGAAAATAGTTTTTATTTAATACTAAATCGTGCATTAATATCAGAAAATCATCCGTCATTAAAACCATGGTATTTATATTTAAAGTTATTTGATAATGCATTACAAAAATTACCATCACAAAAAATGATTGTATGGCGTGGTATACGTAAAGATGTGACTAAAAATTTTAAAAAAAATGATGTTGTAACATGGTGGAGTGTGAATTCATGTTCAGCGCCAATTAATATAATTAAAAATTTCCTGGATTTACATAGTACATTATTCTTAATTGAATGTATAAATGGTAAATCAATATTACAGTATACATGTTATAAACAAGAAGATAAGGTTATTTTAGTTCGATGGAATTCTCTTTCTTTCTTTTTCTATCTTAGCACTTCTCGGCAAATATGACGCACATGCCATCGCTGTATGAAGAACGTAGGAGAGATAATGTAAACACATGCCTAGACGTGCAAATCTTTCTCAACTCTAATTCACTCTGTTTGAATGTTATAGGTTGAATTCAATCAATTTTATAGATTTGATACGTCGATGATCTCCACCTTCATCTCAGTCATCGATTTCTTGTGAAAGGCGACAACCACAATCTGAACCACATTCAATTGATTTAACTTTCGACTTTTCTAAAATAGAGAGAACCAAGAGTGAAAAAATTACAACGACATGGAAAGTTTAGACATACTTTATAGAGTCTTTTTTCCTATTTTTTTCCTTTACAATTGAAGAGCCTTGTAAAAATACGTATAACGGCACAGAACGATCTATGTCATTAAATCGAGGAGAATTCGATCGAATTACCTGAGACTCTCTGATTAGGAGAGGGTAATATCTGTGGTCGCGTGTTAGAATTTTAAAATAATGAAAATTTATTAAATGCCCCGTATTTAGAACTTGTTTACCTACAACTGATTTAGATTTATATTTTTGTGTGTCATTTAAGTTTGAAAAATTAGAAGTCATATTTGTGCTGTTTTTCCCGTATCAAACTATTTAGATTTTCTGGTAGTCCAAGTTTTCAACTATTCAACTTTTCTACTTTTAGCATTTTGTTTTCAAATAATTAACTTCCGACATTCATTTTGATTTAAACTTTATTTATTGAATTAAAAGAGTACAAGAAATGTCCTTCGAATATTAAGGACTCCACCTTAACTTTTGTCAGACTGACATGGTTTTGACTCCTGAAGCGTGCCTAGTTACTTAAGAATCACTTCTACTTAAGTCAACAGGAACACTGTTGCGTTCGAGTACAATTTTCTGTATCTGTGTTTCGAGTTAAACTTCTCAATCAGCGTCATACACAAGTTTTTTGCAAAACATTTCTTTAAATAATCCAAGAAAAAACTTGTGCAAGGAGGTCGGTACGTTGACTTTTAAGAATGTTCGGTATATGCTAAGCGAACAAAATTCTTCCTGTTTATTACTGTCTCAGAATTCAAAGAAAAGGTTCTGCAAGAAACATGCAAAAAGCAAAGCAAATGTGGTAGCACACAATTCTTCTAGTTTCATTTTCTTCTAGAAAAGAAAGGTTAGATAGTAGAGAGAAAAATAGTTGAATAATCAGCAGACAATAGTATCAATATAAATACACAATGGACGCCAATTGGTTTAAAAGAAATTCTGTTGTATTTGTATGTCCTTGACAATAATTTTTTAATAAATCGAAACGTCGGAAATTTAAAGCGATTCAAACCGCTACTTTACTTTTATTGTTTTAAATAAAAATTCTACCGATAAAAATGATTTGGCAATACTGGAGCTTTCCTAGAACCACATTGACAATCGATTGAGTTATGTTCATTCCTAGGCCAAGCGATATCGAAGTTATGGAAACTGATTCTAATGAAAAATGCTTCAACACTTGCATTGAAAAAGGACGTGAGTGGATTCGATGGTTTGATCGATTTATCGATGTATTTGAATATCCTCTCGAATGGCTTAAGGGTACCCCGCCCCTCTTTTTTCATCTTGTTGCCAAATGCGAAGTACATGTCCGATTGAGCTCAAATTTATAGCAGAGATAGAACATCGAAAAAGAAAATCGATGTATTTTTGCCCAGAGAAAACCTGTAAAAAACTAAGTTTTTTGCGTGACTTCCAGCGTTTTTGGGATATCTCGAGAAGGAAAGCATATTTTTTGAAAAGAAAAAAAACAAACCTGAGATAGGGCCTACAGTATCTGTGGTAAAATTTTGAGCTCAATCGGACCATTTTTTCGAGGGGTCGTAATGTGACTGGATGA